TATATATATATATATATAAATATATAAACTCTATCAAAATTTGATAAAAGACAAACAAACAATGGATACCCAACTAAGGTTATTAAATTCTATATAAAATATAAAATCATTGAGTTAGTTGTATGTTATTGTAAATAAATTTGCTAAAAAATTTCTATAATTTTTACCTCGTGCAAATCCATTTAGGGCAGTGTTTCCCAAAGTGTGGTACGCGTACCCCCAGGGGTACGGGAACAGTTCAGCCGGGGTACGCGATCTTATGCGAAATATCTTGCAACATATGAAAATTTCAAATTTTTTTTATTTAAAAACAAAACTAGCCATGAAAATTTACGATTACGTGTTTTTCTATTGGCTATTTTTGGCAGAATTAACAGTTAATAATTCGTGGTGTCAACAGCCAGTTGCGATTTTTAACTTTTGTGCATTTTTTATAGTGAAAAATACATTCATTTTTTTATTAGGGGTACGCAGCGTTACGAAAAATTTAGAAAGGGTACACAAAATTCATAAGTTTGGGAAACACTGATTTAGGGGAAATCAGTGGCACAAAATTATGTGCAAAACAGGTAATTCAGGTTTCTCTTTTTTTTTCTTAAATAAAAGTTGATTTTCTGAAATCATTAAAATTGTATAATTAAATATCAACCTTATTAATTGCAAACTTCCTTAAATGGTATCGTATAATATTACCTTGTGCACATTCATTATCGGGCCCATCCTTGGTAACTAACAAAACAAACGCGCTACAGTACTGCAGTAAGAACGCACTATAAAACAAAATCCCTGTATTTACACTTTTATCCCAATTTGCGCTTCTGTTTTCTTATTTTGTAATCTGGCAATTTTCTTTTTATGTAAGTTCATTTAAATTCGTTACTCCATTCATAGATTTCGCTTTATGTTTTGTTCTGTTTTTTCCTTACATTCTATTTTCTGCTTTTTTTCGTAATTTTTATTACTTAATGTGTTCTATTCTATTTTGCCTTATAAAAAATTTTTGATTGCTCCTCAAGCTATTGTATTGATATATTTTACTTTGTTTATATTGATACAATATTAGAAAGCACTCCTTTTTGAGGATGTAATCGTGCGAGCTGATGAAGAGATATCTTATATGTAGATGGATAGGTAGATAGATAGATATAAAATATCAAAATGCCTTTAAAATGCCACTTAACATTTACTAAGTTTTCCAATATTATCGAAAAGAAATATCGTGAATTTTGCAAAACCTTGTGATTCTGCATCAAAATCGAAATCTTTTTCAGATCCGCAAATTTTTTTGCTGAATCTTATTTTCCCCCCCTTACCTAAGAGACTCGAACTGAAGTGTAAAAGCAATTAGCCCTACAACTCTTCATAAATTTATAATAACTTATGTAAATTCGGTCTTAGTGCAAAATTTTCATACAAAAAACGTTAAAACTGCTTTGAAAAAACAATGTCAGAGAGGAAGTTCAACTTTCAGATTCTAAAATCTTAGAAAATCATAAATAATTTAGTAATTGATTCAAATTTTATTTTTAAAGGAGAGTAAAAAATAAAAAAACAATATGTTTTCTTTGCCCAGAAAGCAGCCTCAAAAATTCTCCTCTTGGTGCGTAGCAACGGAGAAGCACGTTTCGCTGTCTTGTCATTCACTCAGTTTCTCCATGGTTGTTTTTAATTGTTTCGCCTTATGGCGAGGTAATTTGGCATTCTTTTAAACTTTCCTTTGGCATTCTTTTAAACTAATGTCTTTATTGCGACCCTATTTACGACCCAATTTTTTCGAAATTTTGTCTATTTTATGGGGTAGGATTCCAAACATATAAAAAATATAAATATAGATTTATTCAGAGTAAGTACGCTGTTGTGTCTGATTTCCTAAATTGATTAATAGTTAGCAATAATTAATTAGCATATTTGAGGTCACCCCCGAGAACCATTAAGATTGACAATTTGTGAACATCTGATCATTAGAACGAAAGTTATTCAGGTTAATATCTTTTTTTTTCTTTTCTTATTTTGCAGACTATACAATCTGCATCATCTCTGATGATATTTACTCGCGTAATGTGCCTACTTAATAATACTTACTTTTATTTCTAGGTTACACGGACCAGAAGGCACGCCACATCAACGATCCTCACCAGGGATAAAAAGGGCCACTTGGACTCAAACCTCATTCACCCCGGCCACCTGACACAACTGCGTCACCATAGCAGTAGACGGGTTTAGTCTTTGTCCTAAGGGGAGTTCTTTAAATAGACAAACTATAAAGTTGCTGTCTCGTTTCTACCTGTTCCCGTGATCTTTTGCACCGTGCACACATTCGTTGTGTAAAATGTAAGCGTGGTTAGTTTTTTAATAAATTTTTATTGAATTTTATTATTTGAAATTCCAATCACCACATTTGTTCCCTTATTTCTCTTTTCAATTTTTTCAGAACAATTTGTGACCTTTTTTTCCGGATAGGGAAGATTGATGACGTTGGTTGAGGTGTACAAACGATAATTCAGGTATGAATTTCATTCTCATGTTCCATGTTTAATTTTATGATCACCTGTTTCAAACAAAGATTAAATTCAAGTTTCACTTCTCAACTCTTCATTTTTTTTTAAAAAAAAAACTCTTAACGTCGCTACCTGTTTTTTTTGCTAGCTTTTTTTTCTTCTCAAAACTGCACATTTCAAAACACATATTTTCTTAAACTTTTGCTCCAATAAACCTGAATTTTGATGCACACAATCTTATTCATTAATTTAAAAACAGATTTTCCTTTTGTCCAAATAGTTATTCGAAAAAAATTCAATAATATAATTGTGTGTCTTTTATGTTCCTTTCTGAGAATTCCTCCTATGACAGCCTAACGAACAGAAAAATTTTCTGGCAATTTATAAAATGCTTTAAATTGCAATAAAAATTATAGGAGATCGGAAACTTTCATTTGATCACCAAAATTTTTTTGTTTTCTTGGCCGCTAAAATTGGCTAACACAAGATTTCGCTGAGTTTTGATAAAATAATCAAAAGTTTGAATTTAATATCGAATTTAGAAAGTCGATATCCCAATAAATGTTTCAATATTCTACAAATAAAGATATGATAATATTTAAGAACTATAATAATTAATATACTAAAAAATATAATAACAATACTCAAATTAATTTTAGCTACTTTTCGATGAAAGAAAAAAAACAGAAATTTAAATTTTGGCTCCAAATTTAAGCCCAGCTTACGACACTGTTAACAAATTAAAAGATATTTGTTTGACCATTTGCAAAAAAAATATTGAATTGAAACAATTTTAACTATGTTTTGATTTACAAAACACTTCATTTTTTTCTTGCTGCATTTTATCCTATTTACTTTAAAATCAGCCTAAAACCGCTCATTACATATTATATACATATTATATACACATTACATAAAACATATTGTAGTTACGTTCTTTGTCATACAAGTTGCACTTCTTATTGCTCCTGCTTAAATACTTATCAAACATTGTGCTGAATCCTTTTATCAAGAATTTTCTATAAAACTCTAAAGTTTATTAAAAGTACTAATAAGAATATATTTGGTTGCAAAAGTTTGGAATTGGATTATTATAATTTCAAGAAGTTTAAAATTATTGTTCTTAACTCTTCTAAAGTTAACTTCTGTTTCTCTTATGAACTAACGATTTTCAAATCATACCATGTTACGTACAGTGCCCTAGAAAATATATCACTCTGAATAACTTCCGTTCTAATTATCGGATTCATTTGTCAATCTTAATGGTTCCTGGGGGGGTGACCTCAAATATACTAATTATTTAGTGCTAACTATAAATTAAGTGATGAAATCGGACACAAAAACGTACTTTCTCTGAATAAACATATTTTTTTGACTTATTTGGATTCTTAACCTATATTATACGGGAGTTAGCCGTAATCTGGGAAATATGGTTCTTATAGTTTGGTCAGGAGAGCGATCCAAAGTTCAGAAACCTTAATGTTAATTTCACTTTTCGCGTTTTTAGACATATTTTTAAAACTAAGTAATCAATTCAAAACAAATTACCCCCACTCATAAAACCAGTTTACATAAAGTTAATTTCACGCAAAAAGTAATTTTAAATAATTATTTATTATTTTTTATTATTTAATTTATTCATGGCTGGAAAAATTTTGAATTAGATGTTTCTTTAAAACCACTTTCATCTACATATTTTACCATTGAAACGTATAAAATTAAAACTGTTTTTACTTAGCAGAAGCAGAGAAAAATTTATTATTTTTAAAAAAATAATTTGGTGACAACGAAGAAATATTTAAAGGGGACGATTAAATGGGGCTAAATTAAAAAGAACTTGACTTACACACGAGTAGCATGAAGTTTCTTTTTTTTCCCGCTAGTAACAGATAGCTAATCCATTTTTTTCCTATTCATTTGTAAAATACGATGTTTCTTTTTAGTTGTCTAAAAATTGATGCGTAATTTAGTTAAGGGATTTGAATAATACATTTTATTGAATACAAAACACTTTATTCTATACATCAGCTTTTTTTAATTCTATTTTTTATTTTGTTCTTTAAATAATTGATACAATTTCAATAATATACATACGTATGCATAGATATGGAAAAATACATTTAACAATTTCTTCAATACATATTTCATAATTATTAATACGAATACGTAGTCAACATTTTTAAACACCTTAAAATTTCTCAACATCTTACATATTGCCTTAATCTTTAAAAAAATTAATTAATTACCTGTCCGCGCGTGTTTCGCTGAATTATTTTACCAACTATATAATTAAATTTTAGCAATTCTCAAATTCTTATTCTTTACGCTACCACGTAGATTATTTTTTCAATAATTCACGAATCATTTTTTTTAGTACTTTAATTTAGGTTTTCCTTTTAAAGAAAATATCATTTTTAAGCTGTCAAGATTTTGTGAAAAAAAACTTAAAAATTATTGTCAGCTAGCTGAGAATTAAACCTTTTTAAGAAATTAAAAAGCATTCCGCTGTTTAAATTTAAACGATGCAAAACAGCTAATTATTTACTAAGCATACTATTTTTTTAAAATTGAGGATATTTATTGATTGTCTTTTTATTGTTTCTTATTTATTTAAGTAATGAAAAGTAAATGCAGATATGTGGACAGCGAAAAAATTCAACATATTGCTTTGTTTTTTAAATGAACAAAAAATTATGGACTTACAATTTTGTAATTGACGTTTAAACTTATCTTCTCCCGCAATCTTTTGGAAAGTTTCCCTTTTAAAAAGGTTAATGTTGAAAAAATTTGCTTAAAAAAGCTGTTAATATTATTTCCCAACTTTATCACAGTTCAAAAAAAATATTGTTATATCAGAAAAAGGCTCACTTTTATTAAAGAGCAAATACTAAAAATAGAAAATTGTAGAAAATATACGTGGTAATTGTAGGATTCCAAAACCGTGCTATTTTTAGAATCATCATCTCAAACAATTGCTCTTTTTCTAATTATAGAATTCCCTAAAAACTAAAATAAGATATATTAAGAGATTTTGGATAGCAAATTATGTTATAGCTGTAATTAATATGTTCAGCAAATAGTATTAATATATTTTTTTAGAAATCATAAATGGAAATTGTTCTTTTATTTTGCCGTCAAAAGACAAGAATGTTAATGTTTTATTTATGCTCAATTGAAACGTGGCAATTAACCGCAGAATGTAAATCTGTTTGGACGTAACATTTAATAGCCTGAAACAGTTAGAAACAATTGAACTTATTAAAGTATTAGAAATTAAACTTATTCCTTTATTTTGATAAGAGAGGCAGGAAAGATGAGGAAAAGTAGTAAAAACCCCATCATACTTACCATTCATATTTGAGTATCATATCTTGAGTATTAATCATATTACTTCACTAATTTAAGCAAGAAAATAAAATAAAGGGTAAAATATAAACACTATTGAAATACGTCCTTAAGTATACTCAAAAACATATGTAGAATAGATTTTAGATCGATGATTAAAATATATATTTTGCAAACATTTCGAATAAGGCGGAGGCGTTAATTTGTTAGAAATAATTGTTTTTGTAACTACTTTGATTCCTGAGGAGAGGGATCATTCATTCTATTTTTGAAACTTCAATTATAGACAGAACTGTTCAATATTCTAAAAAGAAAATTTCAGAGAATTAGTCAAAAAATAAGCAAAACAACGAAACAAATAAAAATACATTGCTTTGAATTTTTTTTAGAAAGTCTAAACAAATTATATATTCTTTTTTTTTTCAATCTGAGAGCCTTACCCATTGTTTTACGTAAAACTAATTTTAACATCGGTGAAGTATTTTAATTTAAAAAACTGTGTTACTTAATGAATTATCCCTAGAAACTGAAGGGAGAAGATAAGAAATTTCCTTATATTCACAAAACTATGTAAATTTGAATTAAAGCTGGCATGTTTTGTGCGCTCAAAAATCCACGTTATGAGTCATTAACGTCTAGCGAGCCCTGAGAATGGCAACGTTTGAAGCAACTGTTTAGCTCGTTCAAAAATAGGCACTGATTAAGACTTCGCAGACGTGAATGAAGAAAACTAAAGTGATTGAAATAAAAATGTAAAATGAATAAATAATAAAATGCCAACGAAAAATGGAAAATAAAAGTGAAAAGAGGAAAAGAGAGCCTAGAGTGAAGGAGAGAATGAATTCCTTTCCAGTGTAACATTGGCTATATTATTTTATAATCGTCGTGGAACAGCCGACACAATTTTGAGTTTTCCTTGTAATTTTGAACCCTGTCCAGAAGACAAGGGACCTTCTGGGTCAAGCAGTAGGAGGAATTTGCCTTCATGGAGGACTTTTTTTATTGAACTAAACCGCATTTCCGTTACATGGAGAGGATAACCTCCCATGGTTAGCCTGACTGCAAGAGGACTCTAACACATGATTTGTCTACCACTGACGCTATTTCACGTCAGCACTATGGTCGGTGCAAGCCAGATAAGGAATTCGTATCGACCAGCCATTGCTGGAATTCGAACCCGGTTCACCTCAATGGAAGGTTAACGCTCTATCCCTTGAGCCATCAACATTCTCAACCTTGGCTATAATATATAAACCAGACGGGTTTTAAAATTTAGATAAAGGAACATGGTAATCCTCTTTTCAAAAATGGGGTAAATTTGTTGCTGCACATTACCTATATGTAATGACGTTACAAGTATCTATATGTAATGACGGTAAGAATCGTAAAATAAGAGGAATAAAGCAATGGAATTATAGTAACAATATTTGGTGATCATAACTGTTAAACATGTTGAATGACATTTTATGACGAATTTACGAAAATCCGTTTCAGAATGTTATAAAAACATCAGGATGCTAATTGCAAATTTTCTTGATCTAATGAAAGCCACGTAACTCCTATATTTGGTAGAATGAAACGATTCTTTTTAAAAATGAATATTACAATATTCTTAAACATACGTATTTCAGTATTTTTACATGAAACATTTGTTAATTTTAACAGTTATGAAGAAAATATCGTGAACTGTTTAAAACTTTGAATGTGTATTATAATCTTTTTATGGGACCTTTTTCGTGATTTGCCCTACAACTATGCAAATTTGGTAGTATACGATATACGATAAGTATAAGTATACGATGCGATAAGTATACTAACCGGATTAAGTATACGATAATGCAAATTTGGTTTAAGTATTAAATCTTAATACTTAAAGGAGTTAAAAAAAGAACGTGAAAAATACGAGTAATGTTTTATAAAAAGTTCATGTGATCAAATACTAAAATCTTGCATAATTATAAATAATTTATAAATAGATTTAAATTTTATTTTTAAAGGAGATGATAACGAAAGCAATATTTGCTTTTTGAGCAGAAATCTACTAAAAACAAATATTTTTCCTAGAAACTTCAAGATATTAAAAGATAAAAAAAAAATTTAAAAAGTACGATTTACTGCAAAATGAAGAAATTCACAGGTTACCCATTAGCAAAATGGTTGTGGTCTAATTTTTTTTTTCCTTTTTTTTTTGGAAAAGAAACTTCAACCATCTTGGACATCCTTAATCCTGAACTGCTCGGTACACAATTTCTCAAACATATTTAAATGCTACTCAGACACATTCTGTGTAAATTCTTTTGATGACTGAATAGACATTGAACATCCAATATAGATCAATATTAGCATTTTTAGATTGGTACAAGAGGGTTTGAAGGAGATTGTAAGCTGCATCATACACCCGTTTCGGATTAACAAGTTTATACATGAAATATGACTAGAAAGCTAGGTTTGTTCTTTTTTTCAATTTTACATGAACCGTGAATGAATCACTTATATTGCGTGGAAGACAGCCTACGGCCTTGTGCAAGTTATTGGTTACGTTGACAATGTATTCCTTTTATAATTAATTTATATTGCGTGGAAGACAGTCTACGGCCTGGTGCAAGTTATTGGTTACGTTGACAATGTATTCCTTTTATAAATAATTTATATTGCGTGGAAGACAGTCTACGGTCTTGTGCAAGTTATTGGGTATGCTGACAATGGATCCTTATATCCCTAACTGGTGATCAGCACCAAGTTTCCGTATTTGCATGAAAGGGGTTCGGAGAGTGACCATTCGCTCTTTGGTAAGGTTCAATTCTCTCAACCACTTCGGTACTTTTGTGAGGGACGGGCTTCACGTTTGCGATTGCGAACGGAACTCTTTCGTTTTTCCTTCTATGTGTAACGCTTAAGGTATTCCCGTTTATGCTCTTTGGCTTTTTCAGCCTCGGTAAGTTTAGGCCTTGGCATCGTTTTTTTTCTTTCTTGCTTCAACTCTGACTTTTGGGACGGTGTAAATGAGTTTGGACCTCCTTTGTTTGTGATATTCGCCTGAATTAGTATTGAAAAAATGATCCAGTTAGAAATGTAGATTAGAATTCATATTTCTTAATAAAAACAATAAAAAAACAAAAATATTGTTCAAATAATGAAATTCTCTTTTATTCACAACTCAGAAAGTATTTATGGGATCTCTCTGGTCCCATATTAAAAAATAAGCTCACTAACTTAATGCATAACAAAGTTAAAAGTGAAAAAAAAGAATTCTAAAAAAATTATCAAACAGCAGCTGCAACGCATGAGCTGTTTACTGTTACTCTTGATTATTGTAGTTAAAAAGTGAGGACGCCATGAAATCCTAACCAAGAGCCATTTTGCCAAAGGGTAAAAAAAGCCTTTTCGATTGGAGTTAACACAAAGTTCGCTTCCGTTTTTATTTCATTCTTTTTTTATTCTCTCAGCTGGGTTACTTCGCAACGGAGTATTTTTCTCTTGTCGATAGCGCAGTTAGAGTATGGTTATATTAAATTTCTTCTTCTGGTACGGCGATAGTTCTTGACCTCTTTTTAGGACAATACTAAATATATATATATAACTTAATAGCACCCCAAATTTTGATCCAATTTTTTCGAAATGTTATTTACCCCCCTCCCTTACTTAGAGAATCAGAAATCCAAATATGTAAAAAAAAATATGTTTTTCAGAGAAAGTGCATTTTTGTGTCTGATTTCGTATTTTAATTGCAAGCATTTATTAATTTTATAACCCCCGTTGAGCAGCCGACCCAATTTTTTGGGTTTACGACTGCTAATTTTCAACTCCGTTGCCCTGTAGTTTTGAACCCAATCCAGAAGACAAGGGAACTCCTTGATCAAATATTGAAAGAAATCCGTCTTCGTGGAGGACTTTTTGATGGAGCTAACCCGCATTTGCGTTACATGGCGAGGAAAACCACAGGAACCTCCCACGGTTAGCCTGACGGCACAGGGACTCTAACCCATGATCCGTCTACCACTGAGGATATTTCCCGTCAGCNGAACTAACCCGCATTTGCGTTACATGGTGAGGAAGACCTCGAGTACCTCCCACGGTTAGCCTGACGGTAAGGGGACTCTAGCCCATGATCCGTCTGCCACTGAGGATATTTCACGTCAGCACTATTGTCGGTGCAAGCCGGATGCGGAATTTATGTCGACTGAGATTTGAACCCGGTTCGCCTTATTGGAAGGCGATCGCTCAATGCTCTGAGCCATCGCATTAGCATATTTTAAGTCACCTCAGAAACCGTTAAGATTGACACTTAGTACATGAAAATCAGATCATTAGAACGAAAGTTATTCTAGGCAATATCTTTTTCTTTGCGTACTGTACTATGTAATTAACATTATAAAGTTTCTTTAACATTATTTGAATTTTTTTTAAATATTTTATTTTAATGAAAATTGCTTGTATTTATTTTAACCTATCTTTTTTTATTGGTTTGAGCAACAAAATATAATAATTGTATATGCTTGTACACAACATTGAAAAATTTACCCCTATGACACTTTGTTTAAATTCTAGCCAATTTTTCATTGACTAGTTGTTGATTTAAAGTTGAGAGCAATTAAAGGTTTTTAAGATGCTCATCAGTGGGGAATGAACGGTACTTTTTTTATACAATATTTATTACTGATTGAAAATAGGTAGTTAACACATGTTCCTAAACTAAAATAACAAAGATTAAATATGTAATAAGTGCTAAAGTAATTTTTATTTTTTCGAAATGGTTAGTGTTGTCCATTGCAATGCTGCTAACAGAATCGCGGATCACTCAAAATGCCTTCGTAAATCATTTGTGGTGTAAGCTTGCCCACGTCTGCATTTACCAGTCAAAAAAATTCATTTGTCTCTTTTCTAAAAAAAAATTTTGGGGCAAAACAAGTATAAGCTCATTTCTGACCTAAAAACTTAAAAAGTGAACTTAATGTTTGAAAATTAGCCCATTGTAAGAAATCATTAGCCCTACATTTGACCACCAAAAATTTCTTCACCCAATCCCACAGATAAAAAGTTATTTCAAAAACAATCTCTAGATGATTCTCTTCCATCAAATTTTAGCCAAGTAGTAAAACGATATGCCATGTAATAATTTGGAATGCTAAACAGCAAAAAGAAAAATTGGCTGAGAAAATTTTTTGTCTAATTAAAAAGTAATAAATTCGTAAAAAATGACAAAAAAGTGTTTCGGCTTTTTTTTTCTGACCCAGAAAACACGATTAAAATTTACCTCTAAACAATTGCCCTTTGTTTTTTAACAGTTTTTCTATGCGCTAAAAAAATACGGAATAAGTTTCAGCTTATTTTTAACCAAGAAACTACGAATTAGAATTCTTCCTGCAAACGTTAAACTTTTGTAGGAAATCGTTAACCAACCAAATTTTTGTGATTTGAAGTACGTATTTTACATTGTATATTGTAATACTTATTATATATTATATACTTCATATTATTATATACTATATTTTATTTCTAATTGTTTTCCTTGCAATTTTAGGTTTATTTTTGTAATAGAGAAGAGAAAGCCTGTAATGGCAACTAAAATGCTACTATTTGCTACTAAGTTCGATGTGAGGTAACTATGGCTACTATTTTAACAAAAAATTGCTATAGAATGACAATTAATAGAAAAAGGACAATTTTAAAAAATAGTAAGTTAAAGAAATTATTATTGCCAATCTAGTAACTTGCGCCATAATATCTAATAAACAAATTTGTATAAAAATATCAGATTTTAAAAAATCGTATGGAAATGACTGAAAAGCAATTGATAAATTTATTTAAAAAAAATACACGGAAACAAATTTGAATTTGTACTAAAAGTGTCGTGAGCAATATCAAAAAAGTGATTATTCAATTTTTTAATCGCGTGTCGCTGTAGCATATATCAGAATCTTACTTTTAAAGAAACAAAGCAGGACCAAAAAATGATTAGTAAACGACGTCGATGCATTAGTGAATGTTTCAAACTAAATGCGTCAGAATGTCCTTGCTCTATAATTCGAAATTCAGGCGTCTTAATCTCGTACAAAAAAATATCGGAATGTGAAAAACTAAGAGGAAATGAATACACAAGTGGGCGACCTTTGTGCTAAAATACAAACTAAGGTAAACAACGTTAAAGAGCACAAAAATATTATTATAAATGCAGACAGCCTTACGTTGTTTACATTAGTTTGTAAGAGGATATGGTCAGAAATCGACATGGATTCGCAATGGAATATTCGCTAATTATGCTTGTCAGAATGTGATTATTTTATAACTCGGAATTAGAGTATCGTAATATGTTGAATATAGTAGAGTTTCAAAGAACATAGTCGAAAAAAAAATTTTGAAACAATGTAGATTTGCGATCAAAACTTTGATGACGATGAAACTTTGAAACTGTGATGACTGAAATTCGAAATTTGCGTTTCGTAAGCAAAATTTCGGATATGAAACTAAATATTGCAGAAATGGCCAACGGCAATCAAAATTTGCTGCTAAAGAAATTGGAAAATGTCGTTGATGGAACAAGTATATTGAGGGCAAAAAGAAAAAAGTGATTACTTGAAAGGGATATTTTAACCTTGGACTAATTTTTGGGAATGACCAAAAATAGGTACAAAAAAAATAGTGGTTTTGCAATGAAACTGTCGCTTATTGAGTGTATAAGAAAGTGATAAATCAAATTCAAAATTCGCCTATCATAACATCATAATAACATCTGAGAAGTTGAATGTGAATTCAAAATGTTAAAATTTCATAAACCACATTGAAATTACGAAAAATAAAAATTCTGACAATTTGTTTAATTAAGCCCAATTATATTTTAAAGTTTTGCAAATATTATTTGATAAAAAAAAATACGCACACACAGCAAATGTAACTATGGATTAAAAAAGAGCTATAGCATAAGCGGATTATTACCCAATATTTTTAAAATTAAAACAGAGGGAAATTGATTTTTTGAAATAATCATGCTTTGCTAACAATAAAATCTTCGCGATGCAATAAATTCAGCAAAGATCGCAGTGTAAATAACTGTGACAAATTATGAAAATTATAAATAAAATAGCTACGATCAAATTATATATTTTGTTTATTTTCTGTTCAATAAAAAAACAAAGCTCTTAATATAATTATGTTTTACAAACATTATATCATAACCGATAATTAGAAGGAAAAAAATCTACACATGAATGCATGTAGAACTTTTCAAAATTAAGCAGATTTAAATTTCAAATATTTAGTCGTTCAGGGTACAAAAAATAAATAACGGACCACCCTGATAACTTTTGATCTAATGATCAGATCTTCACGTTCTAGGACTCATTTCTAATGGTTCAAGGGGGTGATTTCAAATATGCGACTTAAAAAGGGCAGAGGCGATATTTTAAAATACGAAATCAGACACTAAAAACTGTCACTGATTAAACAGGCCATTTTTTTCGACGGAATCGGATTTCTGAACCCAAGAATATAGGGGTTAATCACAATTTGAAATTACAGCTATAAAATAATTTACCTAAAAATCTCTTAATATATCTTATTTTTGTATTAACCCTTTGCTGTCGTATGTCTACTCTCAGCCACCAACGTTTTTTTACTATTCCAGCTGTAAGTCTGCTCTCAGCCGCCGTATCAAAGATGTTAGCCACAGCTTAATGGCAAACTACATATATTGCGGCACTGTGAATATGTAAAGAGTAGAGATTGTTCTGAATCTTCAAACAGAAAAAATAAAGACGGAAGACGCCAAACTAATTATTTTTGTGACACTTGTTCTCGAATAACAGGGCTTCATATCGGAGACTGCTTTGAATGATATCACACGATGGAGAACTATTAAAATATATTTTTTAGGCGAAATTAAAACATATTATTGTGTTACATATATCTAAAGTTTACAAAAGAATTAATAAATTTTATTTTTCCTTCGTAATCTTGCATATCATGTTCGTTCGTTCAACGAAAATTGATTCCGAGCAGCATGACACCAGTATGATAAACTTAATACAGCATGATAAACTTAATACGACAGCAAAGGGTTAAGAAAATTCTAAAATTAGAAAAACAAGAAATTTTTGAGATGATTCTAAAAATAGCGCGGTTTTGGAATCTTTCTACAATTTTCAATTTTTAGTGTTTGCTTTTTAACAAAATAAGGCATATCGAGAATTTTCCTGATATGAAAATGTATTGTTTTTATTGTTCTAAATGTATTGTTTCTATTGTTTTATTGTTCTACTGTTTCTATTGTACAATTTTATTTTTAACTTTAAGTAAAGCTTTTCAACATTAACCCTTTTAAGAGGGCAATTTCTAAAAGTTAGCGGGTGAGAACAAATTTAAACATCAAAATAAAATTGTATGTTCATAATTTTTCGTTCATTTCAAAAACAAAGCAATCTGTTGTTTTTTTTTGGTGTGCACACATATGCCTTTACTTTTCATTACTCAAAAAATAAGAAACAATAAAAAAGACAATTTATTTCCATTCTTCGAAAAAAGTATTTGGGGGACCGGAAATTAATGCCGTTTTATCGCATTAATTATTTGTTAGTCTTAAAAAGAAATTCATTATTTTTCGATTCATTTTCGATCCGTCATTTAAATCGATATTTCTAACGAGGGTGAATACATCATTGATTAAAAATAAAATCTTGATAACAAATATCAAATGCATCGAAACGACATCACTTTCCGGTCTCCCTAATAGTGTGCTTAGTAAATAGTCATCTGTTTAGCGTTGAATAATTTTGATCAGCAGAATATTTTTGATTTCTTAACAATATTTAATTCCCAGCTAGCTATCAATAAATAAGGTTAGTACAATGTTTTTTGTTTAATGAAATCTTTTATTCAAATTTCTTTACTGAATACGAATAAATTTTTAAACGAATGGAAAGGAAACATAGTATTTTATAATTAAAAAAAAAGGTATTAGCAATCGGTTATTAGCGAAACAAACATGAATGAAATTTTACGCTACGCGCATATAAAATTAAGTTTTTCGTAGATTATCTACATTTAAATATTAATCTCCCCCAATTTAATATATTTCTCCATTTTTCCAAATTATTTTTTAAAAAACAATTTTAATTTTTCTCGGCTTCTATTAAAAACGGTTGAAACATCAGATTTTGATACAGAAAAATACGTAGATTAAAATGCTATTAAAAAAAATTATGCTACATAATTCAATTATTTTTTATCCGCAATTAAATCAAATAAATAATTTCATGAAAAATTATTTCATGAAAAATTATTTAAAAAACAATTTCATGAAAACAATCATTTTTAATCATTATCTTTGAGAAAATAGGTTTTATGAATGGGAGCTTTTTTTTAGTGCTTAATTAGTTTTAAAAATATGACTAAAAACGCAAAAAGGGAAATTAACATTAAGGAGTCCTGACTTTGGATCGCTTTCCTGACTAAACTATGAGAACCATATTTCCCAGATTGCGACCATGGCCTATATTCGGAAGGTTAAGAATCCAAATATGTAAAAAAATAATATATGTTTATTCAGAGAAAGTACGTTTCTGTGTCCGATTTCGTAACTTTATTAATAATTATCACTAAGTAATTAGCATATTTGAGGTCACCCCCTTGAACCATTAAGATTGACACTGAAAATTAGATCATTAGAACATGAAAACATGTACGTGATCATTACCCGATCATTAGAACATGTACGTGAAAATCCGATCGTTAGAACAACAGTTATTCAGAGTGATATCTTTTTTTTTGTGCACTGTACCATATAATTAAAATTATCGAGCTTCTTTTACGTCACCTGGATTTTTGGAAAATGTTTTGTTTTAATAAAAGCCCGCATTTAATTTATTTCAGCCGATCTTATTTTAGTGGTTTGAACAAAATAACTCACCAGCTTTGTATTATCTAGCTTAAATTCCATTGCAAGAAACCGATTGCGCTAACCCAGGCATTAGATGTAAAAATTTTAGAATTCGCCTTTGCATTTAACCACCAAAATCAGTTGAAATAAAATGAATTTCGCAATAAAAAAATGAATCGGAGTTCATTACCAAAGTTTAAAAAATTATAATATGCAGTAGGAAATTGAAAAAAATTTTTTTTTCTATATTTGAGAAAGACAAATTTATTATTACTAAACTGTTAATTGAACTATGATGAAAATAAAAAATATAATAAAATAAGTATATTAAATCATCTACAAGCAAGAAAATATGTTTCACAAACACATTTCAAAGCAAATTTTGTTTAAATTCTCGCAATAATTGTGCATACACCAATTGTAACATTGAAAAATTAAAACCGATGACACTTAGTTTAAAGTTTTCCTCGGTGGCAAGTTGTAAATCTAAAGTTGAAATTGGTTGGTGGTTTTTAAGATGTTCAGCAGAAGGCAATGAATGGTACTTGTTTTTAAACAATGTTTATTACAGATTAAAAATAGGTAGGTATCACATATTCATAAACTGAAATAACAAAGAATAATGTATAAATTTTAGAATAATTTTTATTTTTTAACGTTGTATAGCGCTGTGCATCGCAATATTGCTAACAGAATCGCGAGTCACTCAGAATGAATTGCCGTATCATTTGTGGTGTCCACCTCTACATTAACCCATCAAAAAATTTCATTTGTCTAATTACTATACAATTTTGTGGCAAAAACAAGTTTTAGCTAACTTCTGACCTAAAAACCAAGAAAGTGAACTTCGTGTTTAAAGATTAGCCCATTGTAAGAAATCATTAGCCATGCATTTGACAATCAAAAACATTTAAATAAAATTACAATTGTCAAAACCCAAACGGTAGTCTAACTAAGGAATTAGCTTAGCTCACTTGCTATTTTCTTTAGCCAAACTGTCAAATTTTATTAAAACATGATTTGGAGAATTAATTTTTAACCGAGATTAAAATTCGCTTTCATACGTTGACCCAAGCAATCAAATCGTTAACCTATTTTAGCCAACAAAATGTTTCCATCCTAATTAAATAATAGCTAATTTTTGTCCAAAAAATCTGAATTTTATTTCCAAATATTATTTTTTTTCCACACAATAAAATCCATCCTGCAGACGTCCAGAATTCATACACGTTATCCATTAGATCAAATATCGACGTCTGCTGGACGTTTTCTAATAACTTAATTATGGATAATCCACAATGGCCTAAGAACAGACGTTTTATAAATAACTATGGTAGACGTAATATGGGTAAAACATGAGGTGAATCTTAAAAGACGTCTGCGAAACAACTATCAAAACACGTCAATCAGATTTCTCCTCGTTGAAAGTTAGACGTAGGATTGATTGAAATGAAATGAATAGCTTTATGAATAAAGACATTTAATAAATACTATTTACATTTATTTACAATTTATACAAAATGTGTTTTAAATTTGGCATAAAAAATTTATGAGGTGTTCAGCAGAAAAACGAAATAAAAAGAAAAGCAGATCCAAAATAGAAAATAAAAGTTCATTGTAGTGCGTCTACCACCAGAATTATATCTGCTATTGAATTCGATGAACGAATACCACTAGTTGATTCATTGATGTTTTATCAGAAACCGAGAGAACTGTATTAAGGTCACCGCACTTTTTGAGTGCTGATCCAGAGAGCTGTATTAAGTTCACGGTCGCGGTCACTCCTGTATTACCTTTAGCAGTCGAGTGTATACGCTGTACGTTGTGTGTGATCGAGACTGAGGAGCAACAGCGTGAGGAGGACAATGTCGCAGTCATAAGTAGCAAGCAAACTGTTCAATATGGACCGTGTTCACATCACGTCCAGGTCACCAATGTGGGAATAGTAGTTATTGACAATGTCAACCTTCATCTATGAAAATTTCCCCCACCATAGAATCGTGTTAAGATGTCTTATATACTAGTGAATTAGAATTATATTTTTGTTGTGGTAGATACACTACAGTACTTCCCCTCTAGAATTATATCTGTGATAGAATTCGATGAACGAATTCCACTAGTTGATTCATTGCTGTTTTGTGAGAAGCCGGGAGAGCTGTATTAAGATCACCGTCCTTTTTGAGTTATGATCGTGGGAGCTGTATTAAGATCACGGAGATGGGTTGAGATAGGTCTTCTTGAAGACATTATTCCCTAACAGCAACTTACTATGTCATAAGCTTACGAATAATAATGTTTACGAACTGTTGAACACGTATTTAAAGAAACTCTGATTTGCATGTTCAGAGTGGCGCTAGTAGTACCAAACTTATGCGCTAAGAGCGAAATCTGAATAGACATAATGTTTTAGTTGTACAAGCAAGGCCACCAAATTTAGTTAATCTCTTTCTTGGTTTTGAGATTTTTTTTCCAGTCAGTTTACTATAGCCAAAGTAAATGTAAACTGATTTTTGACATAGAAGCCACAAGTTTTAGTTTTACCCCAAAACGTTGGCCTGTTATATAAAATGGTTAGAAAAAAACCTTCATTCCAAATAAAAATTAAGGCCAAAACTGCTTTTTCATTTAAATTTTAAAAAATCTGCCACTCTGAAATCAAATTCAAAATTTCACCTCGTAGTGCTAGCTAATATGGACTAACTTCCGGAATCCCAAGTCTGCTCACTAAACTTTTTACATCTTTTAAACTTTTTGCAATTTTTTTTACATCTTTTTGCTGATTAGAGCTAACTTTTAAACTAAATTTACATATTTTGATTTGAAATATTAGTTTATTGAGACTCTCATTTCTTACCCTTATAAAAAGTAATTGCTTAGTCAACACTTCAAAAAAAATAATAATAATACGATGAACGACACAAACTGATTTTTAGCCACACAGAAAAAAAATCAAAAGTTTGAATTTTGTTCAAAAACATTAGCCTATTGTACCAAATCGTGAGCTTACGCTCGATCACCAAAACTTTCTGTTAGCTATTCAAACGAAAAGTTATGACTAAAATAAGTTTTTGCTAAAGGGATACCTGCAAGTGACGTAATATGGGTATCATGATCTAATTTGGTTGTTGACCAAACTTGGTATTTGTTTATTGGTTTCTGTTTACAACTGTGCTCTTTCCATTCTATTTCGAGTAAGCCAAGCCCGTCAAGTATCAATTCTCTTAAGTGACTCATTCTATATTCTTACGCAAATATTTTAATTCTCCGTATATATTTCTTATTTAGCACAGAGATAGGAACGAAGACATTAAGAACATAAACTAATTATGCATTGAAGTTGTCAGATACATTAAACAAAATTATATCACAGTTGCAATAAAATACACAAATAAATATTCTAAGTTAAGTAAAAGACGAAGAGGAGAAAGAATTACATTTCAACGAATTTGATGTGCAATACGACAAGGTATTTAATTAACTTCACTTTAATTATCCTTCTAACTTATGTGGAGAAAATTATCTCGATTTTCTAGTCTAATCTAGTCCTGTCGGGGTGCCTAAGTCCGGAACGGCCCTTTACTCCTTCATCGTGAGATGCGGATCCTTGAGTTCCTTGTTTCCTAAAATTGAGAGTAAAGAATTAGTAATGAGCATATTACTCGAGTAAAATCATATAAAATGATACACGTTGCATTGCATATAGTACTAAACATAAAATATAATAAATGAATACATGAGATACATAAAATAAATAATACATAGAATAAATAAGTAATAAAATTGAACTTTTGGTAAGAAGTTTGTCAAAATATTTGTACGCCCCTGGTACAAATTGTCTAACTATCATTAAACAAGAAGGGATGAGGGCAATCAGTATCGAAAACAAGAAAACAATATTTATTTTAACAAGAAAACGAGTTCCATATTTTCAGGGTGGAACCCTTCAGATTATAAATTTTATAGATTCGAAGACAATTATTACAAGCCAATGCTTACTGCATGGTAGTTCAATGGTAGACTAAATATCAGCCCTTTAGTGGGAAGATTTAGAATTAATCAAATTTACATCTACATTTCTCAACAATCATCTCATTCATTACATACTCAAGTCTCTTGTTTATTTCATTCGTTCTAGTTCATAGTGCCCTTTATCAAAGCTTAGTCAATATTTACAAACATACAAATCAAATGATTTTGTCAACGCTTATATTATATTTACAAGTCAAGTCCGAGTTCTGTTTTATTATATCTGTCTTGTATAATTGTGCCATTTTTATGCTTATAGAGCCATTTCAAATATTATTGCCGTATCATGTTAGTACCATTGAGTTATTCTCACATGGTCAATGTTACATCACTTGTGAAAAAGTGAGCAACTGGCCTCAGGGAGGCGTCCTCAGCTAAATTTTCAAACTCAAAAATAGAGTCAAAATTTGCTGCTTTGAGGTCCAACGCTTTCTTAAAAAAGTTTCGATTTTGTTTGTTAAAGTGGTGATCGAATCTGCCCAACTAGCTCGATTTTAACACGCTATTTTCCTTATAAATGATTAGCTGGCACTGACGTCATAGATCACATGAGTGGGTGTCTGTGATCTTCTTCTTGAAGTGCTACTACCCAACTATATGTTTAAAAAATGAAAATTTTAATATTGCCTTTAAATTTTGGTCAATGTTAAGACAGCATTAGCCCTGCAGGAAAAAAAATTCTGTCTAAGGCTGATTTTTATAAACACTTGATAAATCTAACCATTTATTTTTTTAAATTCCAAATGCTAAAACTGTATTGTGCCCCCGATTAAGGAAGTCGTTAATTTTACAAAGAAACAAACTTACTAAAATTTTATCAATTTTCCAGAAGTTTTAATTCAGCCACCGTTACCCCATATTTGGAAATCGTTACCCCACCCACTAAAATAAGTAATAGTTAAATCAAAATTTAGCTACTTTTTAACATATAAGCAAGCTCGATTTTGTTCTCTAAATCCTATGCATAAAAATTTTTATTATGCTTTGGAGGACCCACTAAAACTAAGTTACCACCAAAATAAATAAAATAAAGTCTGAATTTTTTCTCCCAAAACAAAACAAAAAGTCGTTAACCTTTCATCTCTTTTGAGTTCCTTCTCGTTTTGTGTGCTTTGAAATACTTATTATAATGTTTGATTTCTCATTGTTTTCTTTTCAATTTTAGGTTGTGGCCTTTATTTTTATGAGGGAAGAGAAAGCCGCTAATAGCAACTAAAATGTTATTTTTTGCTACTAAGTTCGAGGTAAGGCGACTATGGTTACTATTTTTACAAAAAAATAGCTAAATATTTTCTGAAAAATGGCAACTTTGTAAAAAAGATTAATTTAAAAACTTATTGTTGTCAAACTAGTAAGTTGCTCCATATCTAATTATCAGATTTGTATAGAAATAACAAATTTCGAAAAATCATGTGGAAGTGGTCGAAAAGCAATGAACAAATTCATAAGAAATGCTCTGAAGCAGATATGAATTTGTAATAAAAGCGTCGAGAGCAATATCAAAAAGTAATAATTCAGTTTCTTAATCGCGTGTCATAATAATATCATACATACATCAAAATCTTACATTAAAAAAAATGTAGAAAATGGATTAAAAAAATTATCAATAAACAGCGTTGATTTATTAGTGAATGTCGTAAATTAAATGCGTCAGAATAAACTCATTCTATAATTCTAAATTCAGGTGTCGTACGTAATCTCAAATAAAAAATATAGGAACATGAAAAACTATGAGGAATTAATCAGAAAGAGTGATTAAATTCATGAATAAATAGTGCTACTTATTTTATAAATAGAAATTCGAGTACTGTAATATGCTGAAAATATTGGAGTTTCAAAAGACTTGGTTAGAAAAAATATTTAATTAATCCTATTTTTGGAATTGGCCAAAAATAAGAGCAGAATAATGATGTGGTTTTGCAATGAAACTGCCGCTTATTGAGCTCATAGAAAAGTGATAAATCAAATTCAAAATTTGCATATCATAACATTCGAAATGTTGAGATTTCATAAACCTCATTTAAATGACTAAAAAAGCGATTCAAAAAAACTGTATGGATTTCCAGGGAGTCTGTGTAAATAGACAGTTTTTTTTTAATATTATGTATGTATAATTAAGGTGAGGGTTGGAGGATGATAGAACACAATTGTATAAGCACAAATCACCCTATGCAATCCATGGTCGTGAATCACTAGAACACGAAACATGCTGTATCACGAAATGATGGACACACAGAGATGGAATGAAAAGAAACCGATAAAATGAAGNTGTCAGACTGGTAAGTTGCTCCATATCTAATTATCAGATTTGTATAGAAATAACAAATTTCGAAAAATCATGTGGAAATGCTTGAAAAGCAATGAACAAATTCATAAGAAATGCTCTGAAGCAGGTATGAATTTGTATTAAAAGTATCAAGAGCAATATCAAAAAGTGATAATTCAATTTCTTAATCGCGTGTCGTAATAATATCATACATATATCAGAATCTTACATTTAAAAAAGAAAACGCAGAAAAAGGACTAAAAAATTATCAATAAACAGCGTTTTGATTTATTAGTGAATGTCGTAAATTAAATGCGTCAGAATATATTCATTCTATAATTCAACATTCAGGTGTACGTAATCTCAAATAAAAAATATAGGAACATAAAAAACTATGAGGAATTGATCAGAGAGAGTGATTAAATTCTTTAATAAATAGTGCTGCTTATTTTATAAATAGAAATTCGAGTATTGTAATTCGGTTTTGCAATGAAACTGTCGCGTATTAAGCTCATAGAAAAGTGATAAATCAAATTCAAAATTTGCATATCATAACATTCGAAATGTTGAGATTTCATAAACCTCATTTAAATGACCAACAAAAAGCGATAAAAAAAACAGCATGGATTTCCAGGGAGTCTGTGTAAATAGACAGTTTATTTTTTTTATATTATGTATGTATGATTAAAGTGAGGGTTGGATTATGATAGACCGTAATTGTATAAGCACAAATCACCCTATACAACCATGGTCGTGAATCACTAGAACACGAAACATGCTGTATCACGAAATGATGGACACACAGAGATGGAATGAAAAGAAACCGATAAAATGAAGAAAAATCATTTTATTGAACAAAATGAAATTGAACATCATCACAAGAACTGATCTAACTTGCGGTTGACAACATTAACGCAAGGTGTGACCGCCGTACATTGGTGCAAACACCATGCATTATGGTGTCAGCAGTACACAGATATCCGGGAAGCACTTTTCTAAGTCGGACATCATATAGGACTGGAATAGTCTGGTTGAAAGGGAGGATTCGATCCCGCCTGTCGAAGACTGCCCGTGTCGTAAATGGTTAGTGATGCACGTTAAATCTGACGAGTCGCAAAGTCCTCCATGTCCCCATAACAAATTAATACCTATGGGGGTAGTGATGGAGGAGTTTCCTTGTCTTCTGGACTGGTTCAAAATGACAAGGCTACGGAGTTGAACATTTGTTGTCGTAAACCCAAAATTGGGTCGGCTGTTCAACGACGGTTATAAAATAAAAAATAAAGAATCAGACATCATTTCGAATTCCGCACCGGGCTTGTACCAACCACAGGGCAGACGAAAAATATTCTCTGTGGTAGATGGATCATGGGTTAGATTCCCCTTGCCCTCAGAGTAACCGTGGAAATTTTCGTTATTTTCCTCACCATGTAACGCAAATGAGGGTTAGTTCCATCGAAAAGTCCTCCATGAAAGCAAAATTTCTCCCGAATCTTGATCCAGGAGTTCCCTTGTCTTCTGGCCTGGGATCAAAATTACAAGGCCACGGGGTTGAACATTGGCAGTCGTAAACCCAAAATTGGGTCAGCTGTTCAACAAAGGCTACAAAAATAATCAGACATCGTTTAGCACTTTTAACCTCAATCAAATTTCGCCAATTAACAATGGCACCGATCTTTCGCTCTTTCTCCGACAGCTTCGAGCAATGTTATTCTTTTATTTCATTGTCATCGTCTTCCTAAGTTTCGATTTTATTACATTAAAAAAAATGAGCGAAGCAAAAAAGTAAATGAATAATAATAATTAATGAAAGTCACGATGGAAACAATGGATCAGATAGCCCACCACATCTTTATTAAATAAGATATTTAATCGGTTAAAACAACAAAAAAAACAACTTTTATTTGTAATTATTTAACCGCAGCTATTCTGTGTAGATTTTCTTAGGGTACTTATTCTGTTTAGAAATGAATAGAATGAATTTCTTTCCTAATTTAAATAGTTATCCCATGGAACTAGAAATTGGTAACTTTTAGTATACGGAAACTTTTTCTCGTAGACTTAACATGCAATGATTGATTAAGTGTTTTTATCTATTGAAATTTCATAATTTCGAGTACATATTCTTTTCTTTTGCTTTCAAAACTATTCTAAACCGTTCAAAGTATCTTTCATACACAAATACGATGTCAATAAGTTATTTATTTTGTAAAATAATTGGATTTTACAAATTATGATAGCTATACTTCATAAGTTATTCGTGTTATTACTTACCGATTAAATCGTTAATTTTTTGAGAAAATATTAGTTTCCTAAAAAATTATTTCTAAGAGAAAATGTGTCAAACAAACTAAAAATAAATTATAATTTTATCTTTAAATAGCGTAAACAGTGCATCAAAAATGTGCTGTTATTTGGCGTAATTTTTTGTCTCTTGTGCTGGGAGAAGAAAAACGAGACATAACGTAATTAAATATTGATCCCATAGCAACAAGAAAAATTCGAATAGACTGCAGTTTATTCATTTTCCAATTGTAATTAAACTGATTTATTGTTTTTATTTATCATCAATTTATCAATTTATACTCTCAATTTAAATGCTATTTTAGTTTTATTTTCAATAATATAATCGCGTGATACTTATAAACACCGACCCGGACGAAGAAAAAGATATTGTGTCGAAGCGTCGCCAAGAGTGATAACTATTCCATTGTCTTTCGCAACCCCGCTTCTTTATACAATTTTGAAACCATTGTCGTAACGCACTAAGAATTTGACAGCAGGAAGTCTAGATTTATGATAACGATGAAATGGGAAAGGCAAGAGTATTCTCATGTCTAGGAGGGGGGGGGGACTTTAGAAATCAAAATTAAATAATTTTAAAAATTTATCTAATTTTGAAAATAAGATACAGTCAAACCCCGCTACAGTGAACACTGTTTATAGTGAACTCCCGGATATAGTGAACGAAATGTTCGCTCCCGTGCCTTGCTACGCACGTATGTTATTTTTTGTGAATATAGTAGACCAAAATAAGAAAGGATGTTGGATATTATGAACTTTTTTCTGTCATCGACTGATTTATTTTCTTCATTTTTTTTGTGATAATTTTGAAATTTCTACTTCAAAATAAATACATATACCGATTTTTAAAAACATCTACAGCAATAAGCATTTTTCTTGTTTGCTTCTTTATTGAATAGCATTATAGAATTGGTTCAGCATTCAAAGAAGCCGTAATCTTCCAGTATCTGGACAAATGCTTCAAATCAAAGCTGATGATTTTGCTAAGTGATTTAGTGAGATTACTTTTGTGTGCTCGAATGGATGGTTAAACAGGTTTGGAAACCGGAATAACATAAATTCAGGAAAAATTATCGGAGAGTCGGGAAGAATGTTTCCATATCTGATGTTGGAGGATTGCTCATCAGCTAAAGGTTACTAATTTTTTTTTTTTTTAGAAAGACAAGGAGTAAGGACACATATTTTGTTCACTTACACATATTTTGATACAACCTATTATTTTCAGTCATTTTTGTATTTCATTTAATTTGTCATTTATTTAAATAATGTGTAATAAAAGGGGAGAGTTTGGAAGGATTAAATAAAATTGTTTGCGGAACGGATAGAGTGAAGCCCCGGTTATAGTGAACCGAAATTTCGGTCCCTTGTAGGTTCACTATAGCGGGGTTTGACTGTATTCGCAAAAAAAGCATTTCATAATTCGAAGGAAGTTTCGATAAATAGCCTTTAGGTCAAAATATGTTTAACAGGAAGTGGTGTTTGACAATCGAATGCCGGTTCGTTTATTAAAAGATGCTTGTGTATAATGCGGGTGTGGCCAGTATGCTTGCGATTTAAAATCAAATGCATTTTTTTAAATCTTTGCACTACGAGTACTTTAAATGTTGATTAAACTAAACACTAAGTCATTTAAAATAAATATAGTTTTCAACGTAATTTTTTATGATTAATAAAATAAC